TCACACAAAGGAAGCAATACAAAGAGAACAGGATATTTTTTTATATAAGTACATGGTACAGCAGGTACATATCTGGAATATGAAATGTCGAGTCTACATATTCTTTAAGATCACAAACTGCTGTAAAAAATAGGTTGAGCTGTCATGGATAGGTTTGTTTTTCAATTTTAAATATATCCTAAATTAAAAAAAAAAAACTCATTGCACACATTTAGAATTAATTTTCCTAAAGTCAGGCCAGTGACTGCACTTTGTTCCTTGCACTGTTCTGTTGCATATGCAAATATATTTGATGATGGTAATGAGTAAGGCAGTGTCTACCTTATCTCATACAGAAATAATGCTAATTATTATGACCCAGCAGAATTTTCTTTTTCATGGTGTGATGTAGAATATGGTTGTAATGTAATATCAGTATTATTGGAGTATACGTTCAAAGGAACTATTTTGTGTATAATGTAAAGCTGCCCCAAATTATTGACACATTCATCGCATACTACGTTTAAGGCTAGGTTCACGTATATGTATGTGTGGTTGATGATACGTTTTTGCAGCATGTTTTCCATTGAGTTTTGTGATTTTTCATGCATGTTTTTGATGCGTTTCTAATGTGTTTTGTGTTTCTTGCTTTGGCCAGTGGTAAGCTATATTTATGTTGCTAGGAGGAGGTGTCTGTTGTCATGCAGGAAAATGCAACAAAAATGCATAAAAAAACACAATAAATAACCATGCATGTGCATTTTTTATGTGATTCCATTGAATTCTATTGTGCCATAAAATGCACTGTGTTGTGTTTAAAAAAGTCCATGTACTTGTCTTAGCAATTATACAGTTTTTGAAATTTGGAAAGGGTGGGAGTCATCGAGTTACTGAGTATGATGCTACTGCATTGTATAGCTCTGTTCACCCTATCGAATGTGTATTTGGAAAAATTCTATCTTTTTTAATAATGCTTCAGGCCTTGTGCGACTAACTATGGAGCAGCTGCAGAGATCCACATCTCAGTAGGGAGAATCTGTCCACAGGACAACTATAAGTAGTGCGCTCCACAAATCTGACCTTTATGGAAGAGTGGCAAGAAGAAAGCCATTATTCAAGGAAAGCCATAAGAAGTCTCGTTTGCAGTTTGCGAGAAGCCATGCAAGTCCCCCCAGATGACGTGCGTGTGCACGAAACGCGTAGGAGGAGCCAGCAACGCTGTGACGTCACGCCGCCAGAGTATCGTGGAGCTCCGGCGGCCATCTTTAACACTGGACTGTTAGTCCATGTTGCCGCTTGTTTATCTATCTATTTCACTCGTTTAAGAATCCTTGTTTACCACAATAAAGTATATACCTACTACACTATGGAGGTGTCTCTGCTTTGACTCCCTTGGGGAGTATTAATCCACAGCCATCCACTTGACCACTGGAGAGGGAGCCTTCACAATCTCTATAGAGCAGTCCCTAGGCTATCACCTGAGGGGAACTCTGGACCACCCTGATGTCCTATTAATAACATCCAGGACCATTGAAGGGAATATACAGGATTCCAGACACCACCCAGACCGGCAGATGATATCAGGAGAAATATATATATAAACGCTCATTAAATTGTGCGTTCTGGTGAGTGTGCATTCTTTCCGCACTTTATCTCACAGCACCTTAAAACCAGGAGGATACAGTTACATGAAAGCACCTGAAGTCATTTCAAGTCACCATATGAACTGTTCACTTAATGATTTATATTCATAGTGTGTTTTTCTTCTAGCGCTGCACTTCTGATTTACATTGTTTTTTAGAGGTTTTTATGGTTACCTGGTGTACAGCTGCTATACTCTCTTTGTGTGTGCGCTCGCGTATATTTTCCATATTGGAAAGAAGAATGGTCAAAATTTTCTCTCTAGATGTGCAAAGTTGGTAGAGACCCAAAAAGACTTGCAACTGTAATTGCAATGAAAGGTGGTTCTACAAAGTATTGACTCAGGGGGCCTGTATACAAATGCACACCACACGTTTCAGATATTTATTTGTAAAAAATGTTGAAAACCATTTATCATTTTCCTTCCACTTCACAATTATGTGCCACTTTGTGTTGATCCCTGACCTGTCTGGTGTGTTCCTTGGCCTTCATGATGCTGTTTGTTCACTAATGTTCTTTCTGAGGGCTTCACAGAACAGCTGTATTTATACTGAGAGTAAATTACACACAGGTGGACTCTATTTACTAATTAGGTGACTTCTGAAGGCAGTTGGTTCCATTAGATTTTAGTTAGGGGTATCAGAGTACAGGGGGTTAAAAACAAATGCACGCCACACTTTTCAGATATTTATTTTTTTAAAAATGTTGACAACCATTTATCATTTTCCATCCACTTTGCAATTATGTACAACTTTGTGTTGCTGTATCACATAAAGTCCCAATTAAATACATTTACGTTTTTGGTTGTAACACGACAGAAGATGGAAAATTTCAAGGAGTATGAATACTTTTTCAAGGCACGTTAGATGTGAATCTAGCCATGTTAATGTGTATTTTTTAACCACTTTCCACCAGCCGTACGCCGTACGCATACTGAATATGGGACCCCTCAGCGGGTGTGCTTCAACGCAGAGCAGCCACATATATGTACACTCCCAGCACAGTAACGAGTGGGTATCGGAAAGCTCCCAATGTATACTTTCATACTGTCAATCACAGTGGTCACATGATCAGAATGCCCCACCTCCGCCTCTCAGGTACAGTTTATAGAAGTTTGTTTGTATATATATATATATATATATATATATATATATACAGTATATATATATATATACTCACACATACATACACACGCACGCGCACACACAATATAATATTTTGAGATGGATGTTACTATTGGTACTACATGTTTTTTTTATATTTTCTTTACTGACTACTAGACCACCTCTTTTAGCACTTGCTTACTAAAAAATCTGAAGAACAGTGTGGAAAATAAAAGTTATTAATTAATTTCTTGCACTGCTGTCCTTCTTCCCTAATAACCTATTAGGGCTCATGCACAGTGCATTAAAAAAAAATGCTTCAAAGCCAGTACTGGTGCCAGAGAAAAGTGGCATAAAAAACACAATATTTTTGCACAAGCGTTTAGATGCGTTTTTTAAAATAAACACTGCCCTCTTCTATTTTCCACTCCCAAATTTCCCACAATGCATATATTCATAATTTTTTGGTTTGGAGAGAGGAGACAGAGCATCTGCGCGTATTTGATCGCTGTAAAATGGATCCCGTTCTCAAAATTGATGAGGCAATCCTGATTGCGTTACGGAAGCTGAGGAGAAGCAGACAGCTGGAGGAGGAGAGAGAAGCATCCGTCGCCGTTGTTTCTGGATGCATCCTGTTATATCACAGCATACTTTTCCAACTTGTATGGCCAACTACGGATGCATCTAGAAAGTTTAACAACTTTAAGTGGATGTCAATTGCTGCATTTGATGACCTGCTGGAGAGGCTCAGATCAAGGCTGGCAAGGATGGACACTCAGATGCAAACGAGTGTATCACCGGACGAACGGCTGCCTGAGACAATCAGGTATGTTACATTTTTGTTATCCAGAAATATGTACAGATATACTGTAGAATTTTTGTTTTTATTTATTGTATTTAATTTTATTTTTAACCTTTTTTTTTGTTTAAAATTATACTTTATTAGAAATGCTCATAATTGTATGGAACCCCCTTTTTTCTTTGTATAAATATTTTTGTTTATATAAATATTTTTTGTGTTTGTGTATACACCAAAAAATAGTAAATAAGTGCACAAATCCATGGAAATGTTTAGATAGATAGATATCTGACACACTGATCCTGATTTACTATTGTGCCTAGGCGCATTTCCGTATTTAATAGCGACCGTCTACTTTTACACCGCAGACATTTACTAAAGAAAGCGTCAACAAGTAGATGCCAAATTGAATTTACTGACAAGAAACAGTCCAGGAATCTAACTCAAAAAGCAGACTTGCTAAGAGGCATGTCTAAGAACATGAAAAATCACTGCAGAGACATGTTCACATTGAAATTTGGTTTGCCAAATATCAGGACTTCACTTTAAACAATATCTGCCATTTCTAAAAAATTTTAAAATGTGTAAAAAATAGTTTTTTTTAAAGCAAGTTGACACAGTGAAGAACTAGACACTTCTGCAGCGTCTTTGGCCGATATAAATGCACATGTGCAGAACACATTTTAGACGTCTTCTGTGGGCGCTTTCTTTTTAGACGCTGTTCAATAGTAAATCTCTGTGTGGAGTCCTCTGACAGACGGCACTCGATCGCGTCTAATGTGTTTAACAAACAGCACTATTTGTAGCTAGGCATATCTTTATGTATTCTAATTTGATTTCCTAAGGGCTCGTTCACACTTGACTGTTTTACCAACGCTTGCCAAACACCCCTATAGTGTTTGGCAAGTGTTGGTCCGGTGTTTGCGGAGCATTTTTTAACGCTCGGCAAACGCTCCACAAACGCTGCATGCGAGCGTTAAAAACGCCCCACAAACGCCTATAATGAAGTTTGAATGGTGTTACCGCTCCGCAAACGCCCCGCAACTGCACCGCAAACGCCGTCCGGGCATTTGCGGAGCGGCACCATAGACTAGAATGGGCGGGGCCAGCCGCGGACATCAAGCATGTGATCCCACCCCATGTGACATCAATGATGTCACATGGGGCGGGGTCACTCAGATGATGTCCCTGGCTGGCCCCGCCCATTACCTATTTAAGAGCTGTCATCCTGGCTCACTGCATAAGGCTGGTTACCTTCAGTCGGGAGCGGGACTTTTTTTTTTCTTTTTTTGGGACACCGTGACACCGTGATTGATGTAGGATCTACTTCGGGGGGACATTGTTTTATTAAAGGACTTGTCAAAGACCCTGTACTGTGGTTTTTTATACTACACTTTGTTTTTTTGTGAATGAGTAGCGGAAGCATGTACCGTATACTCATTCACGTGGGGGTGGGCCAGGATCTGGAGGCCCCCTTGTTAAAGGGGGCTTCCAGATTCTGATAAGCCCCCCGCCCTCAGACCCCCACAACCACCGGCCAGGGTTGTGGGGAAGAGGCCCTTGTCCCCATCAACATGGGGACAAGGTGCTTTGGGGGGAGCCCCCCTGCCCCAAAGCACCCCCCCATGTTGAGGGCATGTGGCCTGGTATGGTTCGGGGGGGTGCTCAATCGTCCCCCCCCCTTTCCTGACCTGCCGGGCTGCATGCTCGGATAAGGATCTGACCCCATGCGATTTTTTTTTTAATTTCGGCGTGGAGTTACCCCTTAATAGCCATGCCAGACCCGAAGGACTTGGTGTGGATTGGAAGAGGGACCCGACACCATTTTTTTTTAACATTTTGCTGTGGAGTTACTCCTTAAGATACATACCAGACCCGAAGGGCTTCGTGTGGATGGGAGGGGGGACCCCATGCCGTTTTTTATTTATTATGGTGCTGGTTTTTAAATGTAATTCTCCCTTTTTTTTTCTTCACTATAGCTCAGAAATTCAGCTGTCACTTCCCCCAGCTAAAAGTTTTCTTGGAATTTATATTCCTAAAGGAAATCAATGGATTTTCATTGGTAAACCAAAAATTACGTTAACCGAGGCGTTGGTAAACCGCGGTACGCCTGTATTAGTATTGCAATCCTTTGTATTGGGACACATAGAACCTACATACATCTGAATTGGCAACATATCACAACATTTGTGTCACATGAATCCCAACCATGGCAATGAATTTGCATGATCTCTGTGTGACCACCCCACATACATGTGCTGGTGGCAGCATCTTTGTTCTCTGTCTAAATGATCCCTAGAATGTGAATTAGAATGAGGCCTTGTCTTTTAAATACTTTTTTTTTTTTTTTTTTTTTAGAATGAGGCCTTGTCTGTTCAAATACCTTTAAAGTTGCACCTTTTGTGAATGTCAAAAGATGAGATAAGGGCCTGGACTAATGATTGATTTGATAATGCTGGTTTGCACTTCAGCCCCTTTGTCAAACCAAGAGAAGAGAGAGAAAAGGATTTGAAAAAAAATTTAATAAAATTTCCCGTCCCCCCCAAAATCCATAACAGACCCTTATCCGAGCATGCAGATACCACATGCCTTCAAAGATGTATTTCCTTTGTTGAATTGCCTGCTTGGTTCGCACTAGATGCGATTTAAAATTGTGCTTTTTGTTGGCAATTTCACCGTGTTTTCTGTAGATTTACCAATAAGTTATTGCATTTTCAATTGTGTTTTGCATTGAGATTTACATTGTAGTCTATATGTGAAATCGCTACAAAATGCTCAAAATGCTGAAAAAGTTAGACAAAAACGACTTTTGAAATTGTGCTGCAGCAAATCGCTTACGTTAAGACATGCACATCCACATTCATTAAATCCGATATCAGGTACAATTTCAATTCCCAAATCACACCTGAAATTGCGCACCCTGGGTGCGACTTGGCATGCGATTTGCATGCCCTGCGACTTGCAAATTGCATGCCAAATTGCACTCGATGTGACTGGGGGCTAACACCACAGTCACATCTAATCCAATTTGGAAATTGGGCAACTTACAGTGAAGCCGCACGCAGGGCAGGACTGACCATTCAAGCACTCCACCACTGTTTTTCCAATTTATGGGAAATGCCGCATACTAGCAAAAGTGAATTGACATTTTCAGTATTGCATGCGAGATGTGGTCATGTGACTGCCTTAACTCATGCGATAATCTGGAGTGAATTGTGCCCATAGGGCCAAGAAATATTGCCAATAGGGTTCCCTTTCACATCCCTGTTCAATGTTCTGTTGTATGCTGCACAGGTACACGTCACTGTGGCTTCCTTTCTGACTCTGATTTGTGGGTCCTGTATACCAAGGGTTAACGCAGGTGGGAAGAGAATTAATCAGGTGCAAACACTTTCTCTGACCAAATGAATGACAGTCATGGGTGTGGCCTACCTTATATAAGGAGTTGCAGTAGTGGGTGATTTTTCCCTTGTACAGGCCACATTATTTTCTGCAAGTCCTTGTCTGTGGTGGTTTGGAGAGGAAGAGATATTGTGGTGAATTGCCCCAGACCACACTCAGACTGTGTTTTGATGTGGGCTGTAAATGTTTTGCATGCTCTTCCTTCTAAGGTGTGTTCTTGTACAATGATTATATGTTTATTATCTTTGTATTGTAATCCTAATACATGTCAATTGCTCTGCTCTTCCAAGTTTGCTTTATTTAGACTGAAATGCAGTTTTCAGACAAACCTGATGAAAAATGTATGCGTGGGGGATTTGGGGAGGTGTTTTTTTTTGGCACGTATGTATTTTTATATTGATATTTTGATGTGTAGTTTGTTTTGTGTTTAAGCCTAAGTGATTCATATTAACTGCTTGTTTCCTGCTGTAACCTGTGAATGCACAGTTCATTAGAAGTATAATCTTTTAGATTGTAAGCTCTTATGAGCAGGACTGTTCTATTTTAGCAACATCAATCCTGCTTTTTTTTTTTTTATCAAGAAATTGAATGTACCTACTTGTTGCTGTCCAAATAAATGTGGAATGTGTATTTGATCAATAAACATTTGGACTATATTTTTGGGGGGATTATTTCATGTTCTAGTTGACTGTAGCACAGTGGCTAAATGGTTAGCACTTCCGCCTGGCAGTACTAGGGTCATTGGTTCGAATCCCAGCCATGGCACCTCCTGCCTGGAGTTTGCATGTTCTGCGTGTGTGGGTTTCCTCTGGGTACTCTGGTTTCCTCCCACACTCTAAAGACATGCTGGTAGGTTAATTGGATCCTGTCAAAATTGTCCCTAGTATATGTATGACTGTAAGTTAGGGACCTTAGATTGTATGCTCCTTGAGGGTTAGGGACTGATGTGAATTTACAACATATATATGTAAAGTGCTGTGTAAACTGACAGCGCTATATAAGTACCTGAAATAAATAAATGTACTAGCACACCTAACACTTATTTTTGCTAGCTATATAATATGCCCAAATCTTCCTTGTTAGAGTGCACATATGCAAGTATGCCCAAACTAACAAACCAAAAGCCCCCTATTGCACCACAAGACCATGTTATGTACCAATGAATAGGTCGTGTTCAATGTGCAGCTAGCTATTCTTTTTCTACACTCCTCTTAACAGTAATAAATTGGGCCCCCAATTTGTGTTGACTTTGGGCCTTTACTGGCAAATATATATTCGCCAATGTCATGTACTCAGTAGAGCTGCAAACATACATTCACCAATGTCATATACACAGTAGAGCTGCAAGCATACATTCACCAATGCCAAATCCACAACAGAAAAGCAAACATATATTTGCGAATGTTATATACACAATGGAGCCACCTGTAAAATTGCTATGGTGCACAAATAAATGCCAAGATGGCTGTTGGAGGAGGCACTAGAGCAGCTGTCATACCGGAAATATGTCATGACGTTTGCAGAAGGATGTTTGCACACACCTGGAAGTGGTAGTGGGGAGTGTTAGTGGATGGGAGTGTAGTTAGGAGAGTTTAGTGGTAATTTTCAAGTCTATTTTTTTAGTTTTGTGAATTGTTCTTTTATGGAATTTCAGATCACATCTGGACATGGCGAGATCGCTGTTCTCAACCAAGGAGCTGATCCTCATTTGCTGGGCAAACATTACTAATAATTGTTGTATTTGCAGTTGAAAACATGTCCAATTCCTATATTCATTGAGGTACATAGCAGAGGTTCAAGGTTCTTCCTAACTATACAGGTGACACAAACATACACCCAGGGCCACTGTTAGATACAGCATACCTGACAGCCCCCCACCGCCAGAGAAAAATATTCAAATTATATTTATGTAAAAACATACTAAAAACATTATTAATGGACATAATCCCAACCATATTCCTGTGAAATCTAAATGATAAAACTGTACTGAGTTCATAAATAAAGCTTGTGTCTGTAATTGAGGTGTAATTAAGGTCTTGGGGCTCATGGGTGCTGTGGCCTGTAGAGTGGGAATCAGTGGTTTGTTTTTGTGGCTATCGCCGTTTGCAGGCAACCTATGTTACACTATGGAAATGCTGCAGGTCATAATTTGACAAGCATATGGGTGCAGGTGTACAGCCCTGAACACAGACAGTGAGCATTCAGGACCACTTCCCTACGCTTCACACCTGTTAGATTAAAACCTGTGTTCATACAGCTGCTGTATCCCCATAGTGTAACAGGTGGCTCTAGCCACATCAACAACCCACTCATTCATGCTGTACAGGCCAGAGGACCTGTGTGAATGGGGCATTTTTTACTTTTTTTTTTTCCTCAGCTCATTAATTTCAATGGCCTGCCTAATGTGTGGGAACAAGCAAAAATACTGCAGGAATATTATTTTAAAAGTGTGTTGTTTTTTAACGCTCCTCAAATGCTCCCCAAACGCCCTATGTGCGGTTTTGAGGCATGTGATAAGCATTTACCAAGCATTAAAACTGCACCACAAATGCCTGTAATGAAGTTAAATGGTATTGACGCTCCGAAAATGCCTCGCAACCACACCGCAAATGTCTGCCAGGCATTTGAGGAGCGGTACCATAGACTTGAATGGGAGGCTTCAACTCCTCCCAACTTGACATGAGGTGCCAGTTTTGCCGTGACGCAATGCTAACACTTCAGTGTGAACAGCATTGTGTGCTGCCATGTGCAGAATTTTCATAGGCGTTTGAGAAGCGTAAAAAAAAGCTTCCCAAACGCCTGTCTGAAGCCAGATGACAAAGCTAGTGTGAACGTAGCCTTAGAGAAGGTAAAAAAAGTTGTAATGAAATATAAACAGAAGGAAAATTGAAAGTTTCAAACTTGTCAGATGAACAGGACACAGGTAAGATTCACTCCCTTTCCACTTTCTAGTCAGTAGCCAAAATCTTAATTGATTGATCGATATTCCTAGCACTGACAGAACCCTGTAAATTGATCTCCATATTTTGGGCATTCACAAATGTCAAGGAGCTTGCAATCTAATGCAGGCTATAGATGGGTCAAAAATCGCCCGAAAAAAAAATCGGCCAATTTTTGCACTGTTAGTGGGTTAATTGGTCGGTCGGCCGTTTTTTGGGGTTTTGGCACATTTTTTTTTTTATCGGTAAAGTTGGAAAATTTGCGGCCGATTTTGACGATCGGCCGATTATCCCGGCAATGATGGGCAAATCGGCCGATCGTTTTACCAATAACAAATCTGCGCATGGGCCGTGACCTGCAAGAAGAAGAAAAAGAAGAGGAAGAAAAAGAAGAAGAAAAATAAAAAGAAGAATTCCAGTCCGCTATTATATTTTACATGAAAAGTCTTGCGGTTGTAACAATGTATCTATTTGTATCCGAATAAACCATCTGGAACCTAAATGGATACAAATGGATACATTGTTGCAACCGCAATACTTTTCATGTAAAATATATAATAGCG